ATTCCTTAAAGCACATCAGAAAATGTAGCATAGCACTAAAATAAGCCACTATTTTTTCAATATACTTATTTTTTATCACTGTTCAGCAGGGTATAATCATCACCTGCTGGTTCTTTCTAGGCAGAATACATATTGCACTTTTCACTAGCTGCTTCAGTGTGTGGGTGTGTGTTCCTGAGATTACTAATAAGACTTAAGCTTACTGCAAAAGAGACAACACTGCAAATCAGGAGTTTAACAGAAATATTTTTTATGGGTAGTAGAGCTTTCCATGTTACTCCCATTTAAGTAGACTCATAATTTAATCCACTAAATTAGGAATAAAAAAAAATGTTTTTCACTGAAGGCTAGAAACTATAGGAAAATATTATAGATAATATAAAAATCTAACTCTGGCTATCCATACTAAGGTATATTTTAGGCCAAAGCTTTCTCTACTTTGTCTATATCATCACTAAACAAGGAGACAGGTTTCCTCCCCTGTAACACAGAAATTAGGTAAAGCCACAAGACTTTCTGTTATTGATTCTGGAGAAACTTTAAGATCAGCCAAATGTGCTTTACCAGTCTAGTTTGAAATGTGCTTCCACTGAATGCATTGAAAGGTAAAGTTATTAATGGACTGAAAAATCAAGCTGAAACATTTTAGCCATTATTGTTCAATTAAAACATGTTCTTTGTTTTTTTCTGTGTTTTATTAAAAAACAAAGGAGAAATACTTCCTCTTCTCTACTACCTCCCTTGCACCTTAGAAGTTCAAAAATTACTTGAACATTCACACCAAGCTAAAAATCTAAGAAAATTTTTGAGGTAACTGAAAATGGAGGGAGTTCAAACTGAATGAATATGTTAAAATTAAAACAAATAATGCCAAATAAAATTTCCAATACTAAAATTCTTCAGAAAGAGACATCATAGAGTCATGCTGCCTCTCTCACGATAGCATAAGTACAGAGGGTTTTTTAGGACCAGATTTGATCTCTATGTGAAAATTGAGTAAGTTCCTTACTTAATTACCCCATTCATCTCTCATGTATCCTGAGCCAACTTTTAAAATGTAAAAATAATTGCAACATAATAATATTCAATGTTGGGCTTTCTACAGAACAACTTTAACTAGCTTCTACAATACAAACAGTATTCAATATTTCTTCCCATTAAAAATTACTTTTTTAAATTTACAAAAAGAAGTACAGACAGACAAAATGATCTTCTGGAAGGCAGACATGAAATACATAATCCTATTAACAGATGCACCAAACTTTAAATATTCCCACCATAGCCCGTATTGATAAAGAAACTATTACATACAGCTCTTATCTCCTAAAAATGTAGTTAGGAGTCCACTTTTTCTTCCCTCCCTCTAAATAAAAAGGCATTTTGGGGGGAAAGTCTCTCTCTTCCATAGGAGAACCCATGATAAAGTTGCTGGAGCTCCTACCTCTAGGAGTCCTAGAGTTATATAAGCAGAATATTCATGAGTCTTAAAGGAAAATGTCAAGGTCTCCCGGAAGTTCATTCCCTCTTAAAAGATGAAAATTTGACACTAAGCTAGAAACATAGCATTTAAATATTTATGTAAACTTTCCATATATTTTTGAGAAGAGCCATGCTTCCCTGCAACTGGAAACATGAAGAATTATACTTAGGGCTTTTGAATCAAAGTTCATTTTTTCCATAGCAACTGCACTGCTCTCTTTACAGACATCATTTTAATTTCATAACAGTTAGACAAATGAGGTGTTCCTGGCTGTCATGATGTCAAACACGTGGAATAACTGTCAGGATTTTTAAGTTATACATATAACACAATTCAAGACACAGTCCAGCCAAGCTGACCCAGCAGCACCCTAAATGGCACAGAGCTAAACAGGTCTTATCTCAAAATTACTTTATATCATAATTAGAAAAATATGCTGGTATGGCTGTCATAATAAGATGTGTGAACTGCTTGCTTTAAACTGATAATACTGGAGGGATCATATAGGATTCTGCAGCACTCATCTCTATGACATTGCAGATCACCCTCTATTTACCTCTGTACATCAGGCCCTGTTTGCCCCTTAGCAGAGAAATATTCAAGGTATGCTATCCATGAAAAAGAAAATAGAATTGTATGCATTCAGAGTATGCTGCTTTATTCTCCAGGAAATGTGACTATGTATGTGGGTATGAATTTCTGCCCTAAACCAAAGATTAACTCCGGAACAAAGCAACAGCAAATTAACCCTAAATCATAACCTACAAATGGAATACACTCTCTGCTAATTTAAGAAGACATGTCTAAATTTCAGTCTCCAAAAATCCAGCTGCTTACTCTAAACCCCTGAAATTCTTACACAGCACAAAGATTTTTCCATAAAGCTCTTCCAGCACTTCGCCACTTCTGAGACTGTGAAAGAGAGTTGCTTGTTCTGAGAATAGCTGTATTACTGCTATGCAAGGTTTTAAATGATATAACATTTTACAGAGAACTTTCTATAATAGCCCTTTCTCAAATGACACTTGCTAGCACAGTAGAGACAGCAATGACATGCTGCATGCTAGAAGTACCTCCAGACAAGCTTTTTTCTCTATCTGCAGAAAAGAAACCAAGCTTGTCAAGGCAATTACTGCCCTCTCCTTTGGCATATTGAAAACTGTTAGCTCACTAGGTCACAGATGGACATTGTCATAATCTCACCTAAAACTCAATTTCATGTTATCATTGTGCCTCTGACTGTGTATATAAAGCAAGAATCAATCTTTATGTTTGTTCACCTTTGATGTGCAAGCACAATATATTTATATGATTGTAAAATCTATTTTTAAACAAAGGAGAAGTGTAAAAATGAACTAGTTTGTGTTAAAGAGTAATTGATAGACCCTTTTCCCTATTTTTGGACCATTAGGAGAGTATGAATTTTAAGACACCATGTCAAATACCCTTATCTCACTATTTTTCCATGATGAAGTCTGCACTTTCTAATAACTTTTGTGCACTGACATGAGTATCAGAAACATATTTTTGTACTTTTGCCTTAAACATGCTGTTGCACATAATATATAATTTCTTAGATTCCAGATGCTGTTCTTAATCCAGAAACTTACATATATACTTTGTCTTTTGAAGCCTTAGAACAAGATGTTCTCTGCTGTATTCTGAAGTAAATGCGGAAGATCCAACAGATTAGCTAACAGCTTGAAAAACTGCATGCATTGATGGCAACAGTTTGTAAAAAACAAAGTTACTGGTTTTTAGTTTGGAGATTTTTCACTACCTACTTTCTTTTCTTTCTCCCATAAAAAGAAATCAACAAAAGACCAAAACTATCTCTGCCATCATTTTTTATGGATAGAAACAATCTAAAAAGGCAATCTGTCATATCATAAATGAAAGCATAATAAACATACTCTTTTTTATACTCATAATTAAAAATCTTATTGTTCTCAGACCAAAAAGTATGGGATATCATAAGTCTGAGCTTCAAATTTAAGTAAATAAAGTGAATAAAAGTGAATAAAACTAATTCAGGAATCACTATCTTAAAATGTACATCACAGTTGAAATGAATCTCTCTTTGTAAATAGGAAAGACATACCAATCAACCACACTTGATTCTACTTTTCAAAGGCATCCCTCAATTTTACAGCACCCTTTATGTATACCTTACATAAAAAAGAAACAAGGAAAACAAAAATATTTTCTAAAATTAGGAACTAAAAATGGCACGTATGTTCATCATAGGAAAGTTTAAGAATAATTAAACCACGTGTGATATTTAAACAAGAAAAGTTCCATTTAAGAGATATGTTTTGAAACAAATGCTTAAAAATGAGGAATTAGTAACTGTAGTACTCCTATTGTAAATCAGGATAATTCCAACAGCTCTGCACTTTGCCAAATGTCTAAAATGATGGATAGTATGAAGTAGGAAACAGCTACTGAAAGGGGAAAGGAATATAAAGGCTCTTTATCAAGAGACAGGGCAGTGCTCATTGTTATTCAAGCACATGAGTGGCCATATCCTGTTTCCATTGACTGCAGGGAAGGCTTCAGCATTGACTTCTAACAGGTGCAAGTCCCGTGAGACTTAAGGGGAATAAAACGTACAGTCACGGTATGAAAGCAACAGTGTATGAAGTGTGGTGAGACAGGATATGTAATTCCAGTGTGGTACACAAGAATCTGACAGAGCTATTTAAATGCAGTGCCAAGTAAGGATGCAACTGAAAAAAACAGACACTTCTAAACAGAAATTTGGCAGGTCTTCATTCAATGCTACAAAACAAAAAGTGCAGGAAAAATGTTACAGAAACGAGAGTGCTAATTTATAGTGGGGGGAGAGAACAAGGGAGACCCAGAAGCAGCAATAAGCATCATCCTGTTCTGTAGCAATATAATATCACTTGTTCAGGACACAGCTGCTGGAATGCTTTGGTAGATACTGTAGACTGATCTGCTCTGAGAGTTGCTGGGACTTAGACCCAAATATATTAACCACTTCTATTTATTCTCTTCTGTATTATGATGAGCATTTGAAAACATTTGGGGATTTTTTTCTTTAAATTACATAATCTTCAATGAGAAGTCTTAGGCTATATTCTTACATCAGTTGAGTTATGCATGATGTCCTCAATTAATTCTATAAAGAAAGTAGCTGAGATGTCATTTTATTAATTAGTAGCTGGTCAAAAATAGAGTACTTATCCCAAAGGAAACTATGTGACTTCAAAATTTCTTTCCAGATGAAAAAGAAAGCTATCTAGCACAGCATCTATCTAGAGCAGGGGTAGTAAACATCAGTCTCCATATTAAACTGATATCAATAAGTATTATAGCAGGATGACCAAATCTCAACATTCAATTTTGGAACCAGCTTTTGACATTCAAAAGAAGAGTGAAAGTAGCAATTTTGAAGGCAATCAGGCAAGACTTTAAATAACTCTAAGGGCTAAGGCAGAGATTCAGCAGCTTTTCCATAGTTACTAAGTTTTATGATGAAAAGGAAATCACATACCTGTGCAAGCATGGGAAACCCGAGGTTCCTGCATCCATTACAAGGTGTCAGTGCCTCCCATAAGCCAGAAGGTCCACAAGTATTTTCAGCTGCATCATCATCTTCTTCCTCCCTTGGTGATAAACGCATTGAAGAAGGCCTCTGTGCACAAAGAAACAATACTTTCGAGTTAAAACAAGTGATATATTGTAAAGAAACTTTTTTATCTTATGGACTTAAGAACGTCCCATTCACAAATTCTAAAAGATAAACTATTTTAATACAAAGTACCTACTCAACTGTTAAACTGCTCTATGAAAATAATACTTTCTAAGGAAGGTGCATATTGAGTTATCCACAATTATACTTTAAACTAGAGTGAACATATTAATACACATTGAAAATATTTATTGTTTTTATTATCAAGAAATTGACAATTTCTACTTCACTTCACTTTAAAATTTGCTGTATTATTAAGTTTAGGATATTCCACGAAGAATAAAAACTAACATTTGCCTGGATGGGTCCAAGGTTTTTGCAGACAAAAAATACTAAATCAATCAAAAGATGAGGTTTCAGTTTTTGCATTACATTTCTCAGCAATAAATGTGTTACCTTATTTTGTAGGCAAAAGATGTATTTAAACATTGACCTGTATTATTTTGTTTTATAGTCTGGAAGGGATGAAAAGTATCAGGAACAGTCATTGACTTATGAACACCATGGCTTACATATTGATCTGAGCAATAAGGGAAAAATGCTGATTTTTGCTTAAATCAGTATCTTAATTTTCTATGACAGACAGAACTAGGAACAGTGGTCAGTTCCCACATATTTATGTTATTTTGCTACACAGGATAGTCCATGCCAACTGAATTGCAGTGGCAACTTTTATTAATTTTGGGAGAAGAAGGAGGAAAGTTAACCCAGTAATGAATGAATTTTAAAATCTCATTCCAATACAAATTGTTACCAAGAAAAAAAAAAAAAAAAGTAATTTTTACACCTTAATTCTTTGTTCCTATTTAAATTGGTATATGGAATAGGTGTTCCAGCCTGTTTCAAATTTGCTGGAGCAGCTTGCCTGATACTCAGATACTAAATGTTGTCTTTAGGAATGCTTCTTTCAGAAGTGGCTGGATTTTTGCTTGACCAGAAGAGCACTGTTTGAGGCAATGGCTGACCACAGCTATCAATCTCATGGTAACATTAACTCTAAAGCACTGCAATGGGCTCCATGTAAAAATCATCTGAAAAGCCTCAACACTTAACTGCAGATTATTTTAGCCAATAGACTAAAGAAATTCATGGAGTTTGCCGCATGGAAGGGAATAGAAAAGTGAAAGAAAGGTAGGGGGGAAAAGAAACAGAGAAACAGCAGCAGCTCTAAAGATAAACACAAGCTGATAGAAGCTGTAGAAGAAGCACAGGCACCACAAAGACAGGCACTAACTCAAATTGTGTAGTATCTGAGGACCATTTAACTCTTGACTCTTGAGCTAACTTCTTAACACAAAATTTGTTAGTAAACCATTAATTTAAGCAGGGAAAATATTTCTAAATTCTATCTCAAGTCATGCATCAAAGATTAGAACCACAATATATCCCAGTCCATTATTCTGCTTCCCCTTGGTTAGGAAATGGTCGTTCCCTTGTTGCAGACTTCATGAATCTGACCATATCTTGCAAAGTTAGGTGGATTTATTTACTTTTTATTTTAGAAGTCAATTTCTAAAACATTCTTAGTATGGTATTTCATTAGGTTATTTTGACACTCTAGTAGTACCACAGAATATGTTGCCATAGCAACCAATATTCTCATAGTGATTATTAAAAAGATTGGGTTAATTCTGCAGAGTGTAGGTCATGAAAGACTATTATTGCTAGGTATTTGCATAGACAAAGGAAGCAGACTAGAGGTCTTTCCCCTCTATTTATAATGCCATCTTCTATGGTGGCTGCCCTACACTTGTATCTTAAATCTCAGAATTGCTGTACCAGAGAATAAAGCACTTCTTGCCCCCTAGAGAACAAAGCCAAAAACTGCAGCAGTGCTCAGCACAGTAAAGCAGGTAATACACATTAGCTGTGACCTTACAAGCCGATGGAAGTGAATGAAGACCAAAGTCATATAAAAATGTCAGTGCAACTGGTAAAGGTAAAAATCACACATAATATAAACGAGAAATATTCAACACAACTAAAGGAAGATGAATTACAATAGAGGTAATGAAGGGGGAGGATGTGAGTATTTAGGCATTACAGGTACAGAGTGAAAAAAATCCATGCCAAACAATTATTGAACAGTAAAAACAAATACACAAGCAGAATGAGAGTTGTATATTTCCACTAAGTGTATTTTATATAAATAGCCTAAGATAGCATGTGAATCACAGGAATTTAATGTCAATATGAATGAGAGGAAGTGGAAAGTATATAGCCAGATCTCCTGATCATTCAAAAAAGGATCAGTCAATGCCAGAGTTCATTAGACACATGACTGGAATAAACTGGCACTCTCATGCAACTAGACAATGCAGGTATGAACATAATACACACTAATTCACAGACTACTGCAGATCAGGGATGGCTCTTTTTATACTTGCCCAGATTTCTGACACCAATAAAGCACTAAAAAAGAACCATTAGGAAAAGTCTACTTGGAGGGTGAAGAAACACTTATTGCCATCACCTTTCTCACCCACCCCTGCTTGACAGAAGCCCAGTTCTTCCCAGGCAATGGGAGAGATATGTGGGAATTACTGCAGGGAAAGAGAGCTGCATTTGCAAAGAGGAAGGAAGGACTTAATAGCTGCATGAGAGAAAGGGGTCACAAGTACCCCAAATTTGGTAGTCTGGGGTTGCATACCCTGGGAAGAGGGATGTGTCTGGCAGAGGCAGATGAGGTACAGAAAAATCTACAATCAATTCACAGAGCTCAGACTGTCACACAAACCTAGAGCACAATTTCCTGTTACTCTCTCACAGCCTTCATTCCTTTCCCAGAACTCCCTAATTTTTCCTGTTCTGTTGTGTAATTTAATTTTGCCTCCTTAGAGATCCTTTGAACATGAAAATCTAATTCTGTGTGTGCTACTGGGAAGCCTTGATATAGCCCTGTAGGGAGAGTTTTAGTAAAAACAAAGTTATTTATGCCCACTTCTCAGAAAATAAATAAATAAATAGAGTAGAAGATATTTCTGTCAAGTAAAGAAACACAGGCACAATTTAGAACCTCTTATTTATGCCTGTTTTGAGTTAAAACCACCCAAACAAATACAGTTTTAAAATGCCATGAAAATCACAGTTACTCAATTAATTGAATTAGACATTATGAAATGGCAAAGTTGATGTAAACTGCAATACTAAGCTCCACTAAGGGAACTTCTGCCTAAGTCATAAGAGGCACAAGCAACATATATTGTCAAACAGAACAGGAAATCTTACATAATATTAGATATGATATGCAAAAGGAAAATTTTGTAGAGAAATCACAAGATATTAATAGAGAATTAAAGACTTGTTAAAAGTTCTGTTTTTTACTGGAACACTGAATCATGTATTAGACATTTCTTGCAGTAGTAAGAGACTAACAAAGTAACTTCTATGTGTAAAGAGAGAATAATAATGAAACAGCAGTGAGAGAGTAGTAAGATCTAGCATAAGAACACTGGACCACTACAATTAGTGGCAAATATTCTTCAGACACTACTGAGCCTATCACACCACCTCTCATTTTCAACCTTAATGTGTATTTAAATCACATCTTCCAAATTTAGGTATGGAAGCCTTCCTCTTCATGTCTCCATCTACATAAAAGGTAAAATCTGCACACTAGGCTACTTTAGATTAAAGGACACCTTATAAAGATGCTGTTGATTCTCCAAAACATGTATGTGTATCAGATTGTCTATCACAATAACTTGGAACTTCCATCCTGATCTAAGAGAGGAATATTTATCAGCAGAGAGAATGATGACTACAGACAAAAAAAGCAGAGAAAGTCTGTTCTGCTCTTAAGTCAACAACAAGAGGAGGTGAGAGCAGCTTTAATCTTAACTATTACTTACAGTTACCAAGTTTAGGGCTCAGCAGCTGTACACCATGTATAAAACATACATAAATACCTTCATATATGGCCTTCCTTTTAATAGATGTTAACTATTTCCTATCTAACGTATTATTACCTAGACAAGTGTTTTTCAAGGAATACAGAAAATGATACAAGACATTTCCTTTCAGTCCCTCTTTTTCTCAGTTTTTAGTGAAGATTGGTCTGCTTTCTGCCTTGACATTTGTAAGCAGCCACTGCTAAGAAAAATAGGACTCAATTCCCTTGTTTCAGAATACATAGGAGACTTTCCTGTACTAGTCCAGTGAAACCTAAAACCACACATCAAAACCTTTCCTTCTTGTATCTGCTTTTTTTATAATATCATCTATTTGCAGAAGTATTTCACATACCCTTTCAAACAGTATCTGCTAGAGCAAAACAGCATTAGCAAACTCTTAAAGGTACAAAGTAACCGGACATTTACCATTTGCTATTGCATCATAGCTCTGGAGACAAGAACATTAACTTATCATTTATCTTTGTAAGAAAGTATTTTTAAATGGAGCAGCAAAGATGAAATCCAGAAGGCAATATCCTTCTGATTATGGGAGTCAGAAAGCAACCAGACATTTGATAAGCCACTCAGTTTGAAACAATGAGGTCAGTAGGAAGTTTCTTCTGCAGAAATAATTGGTCAAACACGTATTTTCTGTCATCTCTATGGAGATGTGCTTCTAACTGCCCTTGGCTCAAAGGACATGTACCTTACACTCTGAAAAAAAAAACCAAAACAAAACAAAAAAAAAATAAAAAAAAAAATTACAGTTCTGATACCTAGTATTCTATTTTGACATTATACTAAGAACTAACAGAGCAGGAAACTGATCCTGAATCTCTTCTATAAATTAGGATAAGCAGGTTGATCTCTGCCACGGCTGTCCCCAGCAGCTGCAGCAGTCAAGCCAGGGACAGAAGAGCTGTGACAGTGTTCTGTGCTCTCAGTGCTCCCCCTGCTGCTGCCCAGGCTGCTCTCAGGGGAAAATGCCTGAGGTATGCAGAAGCAAAAAACAGCGTTAGGGCATGATATATACCACAATCAGTTACTATT